TATTAAACTGCAATTTATTTCATTTTTCTTTTCTGTTTCATTCAATGATATATGAATGTAAGGGAAAATAATATAAAATCAATCAACTAACCGTGCGGAAGAAGTGAAAAATGATTGTTGTATGGAGCGTTTGATTCATTCATTTCCGAATAGATATTTTAAAGAAAGGAAATGAAATGAAGTGAAGAAAAGTGAAGGAATTGAGGAGACAATTGGGGACATTTTAAAATTTATGCAATAAATGAAATCTTTTGACTTTGTAAATCAGAAGGAAAATAAATTGAAGGTTTAGCTTTAATGATATGCAATTGTTCAATTGTATGGTATGCTTTGAATGGAAAACATTTCTTCTCAGTCAATGATAAAAGAACCATTTGCTATTATATTTGAGAAAGATGAAAGCCTTCAATTCTTTTTTTTTTTTTTTTGTTTTTTCCTTTGGCTTTTGGTTTTGTCAATTTCTTAATTTATGAAAATCAATGAATTGATAGTTTTATGTCATCGTCGGCATTCTCTCTCCAACCTCTTAAAAAAACGCATTGGTTTTTGGCCCATTTAAGATTTTCGTTTATTCATGCATCTTTTTTGAGTCCAAATATTTATCTTTCTCTCTTTCACCCTCTCTTTCTCTATTTAATTTTTGACATATTTTATTTTAGCAGATTGAATTAGAACAATAGGGACTTTTTATGATTTTATGCATTTTAAGTTTTATAAAATGATTCTTTCTTAAGCGAGTTGGTTATTAGGGATAAGTGTAGAAAATAATTGAGCTTAAAGATATTTTATGAAATTTAGTTTTCAATTTAAGATGCTAATAGAATAGAATTAGCTGATAAAAAATTTAAATATTTTTTTTAAGCGGTAAAATTGAATTTCACATTTAAAAGATGAATAAACTATTTGGTAAAAATGAAAAAATTGTTGTTGTTTTTTTTTTTTTTAATTTTGCTAAAAATGAATATTTTCAGTGAATTGTACAGCTGATTGGCGATCATCCGTTTGGGGGCAATGTAGTCGAACATGTGGTGATGGTGGAGTACAAGTAATCGTTTTGTTTTATTTTATTTCTTTTTTTTTTTACATCTAAGAAAAAGATTCTGAAAATTTTGGAAATTAAATTTTAAATAAATAAAAAATTTGATATATTTGTTTGAATGAATAGTTTAATACACATATTACATATCCTATTTGATTTCTCGTTTTTTTTTTTTAATTTAATATTAATTTCTTTTCTAGATGCGTCTGTTACGCTGTGTATGGCGTGGAACACGTAAACCAGCTGGCCGTAATTGTCAATCATCATTACGACCAGCAGCAATTCGAGCATGCCAAGAAGCTAGCAATTTACCTGCATGTCCAATAACAGGTGCTAGTGCTGTTGTTCCTGATGCTCCTAATGCTATAGTCGCATCTAAACCTTTTTTATTCAAAGGATTGGAAAATTGGCGTGGCTGGAGACTTTATGATTGGGTACCTGATAGTAATGGAAATTTTCGACGAAAATTTTGATTCTTTCTTTTTTTTATTTTCACTTTAAAATGTATTTCAG